GAAAAATAACAATTTAAAAAATAACAGAACAGAATAAGAGGCTATATATAACATCTTTGATGTTAGTTGTTTTCCTTTTTGTTGTCTCAAAATGTTTAACAAAAAGTTGGTTCTTTGAAAAAAGGAAAATAAACCCTTAGCCATGCCACCTGAGAGAGAAAACTCAAATTATAGAAAACTCAAAAAGTTTGTGAAGAATAAAGGAAATATCACAATGAACACTATTGAAATTCAATAGATAATTAGAAATTATTTTGAAAATTTGTACTCCAATAAAATAGAAAATCTTAACAACATCAAATTTTTAGACACATATGACCTACCCAAACCTACCCTATCAAATGACATACACAATTTAAACAGATAAGTCTCAAGCAATGAAATAGAAGACACCATCAAAAGCTTACCAATCAAGAAAAGCCCAGGACAAGACAGATTCTCAGCCAAATTCTTCAAAGAAGAATTAACACCAATACTCCTCAAAGTATTCCATGAAATAGAAAAGGAGGAAACACTTCTAAATGCATTCTATGAGGCTAATATCACCTTGATAATAAAACCAAACCTAGACACATGAAGGAAAAAAAAATCAGACCAATATCCCTGATGAACATACATGTAAAAATTCTCATTAAAATTCTGACAAATTGCATACAAAAACAAATTTAAAAGACAGTAAACCATGATCAATGGGTTTCATCCCAGGGATACAAGGTTGGTTCAAGATATAGAAATCAATAAATGTAATTTATGACATTAATAGACCTAAAGACAAGAATCATATGATCAACTCAGTAGGTGTTAAAAAAAAAAAAAAAAAGCATTTGATCCACTAAACCCAGGGCTGGCAGCTTCCAATATTATCTTGCTCTGCTTAGAGATTCCTCCTCACAACAAAAATAAAACCAAAACAAGATTTGCAGTAAACAATCCAAACAATAAATCAAGTTCACCAACTGATTTTGTCACTCACTGAACTGAATTTTTATATCCAACTCCCTAACAATTAATTTTGTATTTCTCTTTGATTGAGATAAATTGTTATTTATTTTTAAGTTTTCTTTTTCATATTGTAGTTGTTACCTATTAAATGAGATAATGAATTGCTCAAAAAAAAAAGCATTTGATAAAATACAGCACTCCTTCATGTTCAAAACACTAGAAAACTAGGGACAGTAGGAATATACCTCAACATTGTAAAATCTATTTATGCTAAACCCAAGACCAACATCATTCTAAATGGAAAAGAATTAAAAGCAATCCCTCAAAGAAATGAACAATACAAGGATGCCCTCTTTCACCACTTTTATTAAACATAGTCCTTGAAACTCTAGCCAGAACAATTAGAAGAAATTAAAGGGATAGAAAAAGGGATAGAAAAAAAAAGGGATAGAATTTTTTGGATCTCTATATTTAGAGATCCAAAAAATTCCACCAGAAAACTTCTAGAGCTCATAAATGAATTCAGCAAAGTAGCAGGATATAAAATTAACATCCATAAAACAAATGAATTTCTATACATCAGTGATGAATCAGCTGAAAGGAAATTAGAAAAAAACTACCTCATTCACAATAGCTTAAAAAAATTTAAAAAAAAATACTTACGAATCAATTCAACAAAAGAGGTGAAAGACCTCCACAATGAAAACTATGGAACACTAAAGAAAGAAAGTGAAGACAACCTTAGAAGATGGAAACATCTCCCATGCTCTTTGATAGGCAGAATTAAGATTGTAAAAAAGGCCATAATACCAAAAACATTATACAGATTTAATGCAATTCCTATGAAAATCTCAATCTCATTCTTCTTAGAAAAAGCAATCATAAAATTCATTTGTAAAAATAAGAGACCCAGAATAGCCAAAGAAATCTTTAGCAAGAAAAGTGTAGCAGGAGGCCTCACAATACTAGACCTTAAATTATACTACAGAGCCATAGTAACAAAACAGCACAGTATTGGCACCAACACATGTAGACCAATGGTACAGAATAAAAGAGAGAAACCCACATAAATATAGTTATGTCATACTAAAAAAAAGGCACAAAAAACAAATTTGTTGTGTCAAAAATGCATTCTACTGTCATGTATAACTAATTAGAAAAATTTTAAAAATTAAAAATCTGGTTTCCTCAGACACCAGGAAGGTTGGCGTTGACCCTGAATGTCTCCGTTTTGCATTACTTTTTCTAAAATATATATGATGAAATGATTCTATATTTAGAGGTCCAAAAAATTGAAATATTTTAGATATTTAAAGATCCAAAAAATTAAAATGGAAATCATCCTCCAACTTCAGACTATAGTTAAAATAGTCCTATATGCAATCATCAGAAATCTCTGGTCATTCTCCATTACTCTGGAGTTCATGAATTCCGAGCTGGCAGATTGCTCGATAATTCAGTATCTTCTCCTGCCTTACTGTTCTGTGGTCATGAAGTGCCTCAATTATATCCAAACATGACTTTCTCTGTATCAGCCTTCCAAATCTCATTTCCAGGTACTTGGCCCTACATCCAGTACCAATTTTAGCAGTTTGGCATCACTAAGATTTCTCAGGCACATTTTTTAAATGGCAGCACTTTTGATGTTAGTTTGCAAATTTTATACTAATTCCAAAATATATATCCATTGCTATTATTTAAACAAATACTCTACATTTACAAAAAAAAATCATACCACAAAAAGAATTTAAGTTTTTAAAGGAAAATCATACAATGCCACCAAGAGGAATTAAATAAGGGCTAAACAGCTTATTTAAAAAAACAAACAAAAAAAAAAAACACCATAGATAGAAGACGGGAGGCAGAAAAAGGAAAATGAAATTTAAATACCTGAAATATTTGTACTCACAATAATTTCATCTCACTCAGAAGAAATGTGGCATCTAAAAGTTGACACAGTGATTAGTAGGACATTTTGCCCAGGCTACCACATTTCAGGCCTGTTCAAATCCCTTTGATGCACATCATTACTCAAATCTCATACTTAGGAGTCAGGCTCTCTGTCTTTGTCCTGGTTCAGGAAGTAATACTATGATCCTGATTCACTTGAGGCCTAAAAGAGTATGTCAACCCCTGGCCATGTATGTCAGAGGGCACTGTAATAAACTTAATGGCTTACAATAACAGAAATTCATTCTCTCTCAGTTCTATAGGCAGCAAGTTGGAAACTAAGGTGTAGATAAGTCCAAATTCCCTCTGAAGGCTTTTGGGAAGCTCCCTTCCTGGCCTCTTTCCAAGTTCTGGTGACTGTTGACAATCCTTAGCATTCTTTTGCTTGCAGATGCTTCACATCATTACATGACATCCTCCTTGCATGTGTCTCTTCTGCTATTTTTATAAGGACCAGTCATGTTGGATTTAGGGCCTACCCTACTTCAGTGTGATCTTACTTAACTTGATTATGTCTGCAAAGAGCTTTTCAAGTAAGGTCACATTCACAGGTGGTAGGACTTAGGTCTTTAACACTTTTTTTGAGAGAGATCATTTAACCCACAAAACAGGACATGCTAAATGACTCATCAATGGTGCCAACAGAGGCACTGTGGAAAGACCTGCCACATGTTGCAGTCAAGCTGTCTGAGGACCAATTCTCTTGCTGGAGACAGTGAAGAAATATAAGCACTTCACAAAAATAAATAAAACAGATTTGTGAAGATGGAGTGGAAAATTCAAAGAGCAATGTGAAGCTTCCCTTTTATCTATAAACTTGACTGTTTTGTGGTTAGAGTACCCATAAGAGGTAAATAATCACACCTCCAGAAGACAAAATTGAGGCCAGAGATATTTAACATATTAGTAACAATGCAGTGCCTCAGAGTTGCTACTTTTCATCTTTTCTTCAGGGCCTTTGAATTAGGTCTAGCAAGATAGTCCGGGAGAGTAGTGCTAATGTGAATCTAGATCTTTAACAAAACACCTAATAGGTAATTGCCAAAAATCCACATAATTACTATTTATGTCACCAAAAATTTTAGAAGCATACTAATAGAACTATGCTAGTTCTCTATTAGTAGTAAGCAGATAATATGTAAGTATGATGCACGATGCTGAACAGAGTTTTCTCTTCGACTTCTGGTTAAATCAGAGATGACTAGCAATCATCCCTAAAGAGCCATACCAAGAGAAGGGCTCAAAAATCATACCAAGAGAAGCCCACAAGAGCCATCTATACAAAATATAAAATGAAAAGTGCTCAGCTGCTGGGCTGATAACATTTAGATGTCCTTAAATGAGAAACAATAATGTACACATTTTTTTCTGCAAGGCAACCAATCCAAACCCACCAATATTTTTGGTGAGGCTGTCTGAGACAACCTCAGCATGCAGCAAGGGCCATCTTGTTACTCAGAAAATACCCAATACAACTTTCTGTTCTAAATTTCAATGAGAAAATATACTATAGACCCATATAGCCTCAATGAGGAAACATACTATGGACCTATTAAACAAGGGCAAGCCACCCTGCAAAATGTGCCTGTTTCAAAAGGAAGGAGTAGGGTAAACAGTGCTACTAACTTGTTTCCAGCAATCATTTCATCCCCTACAAGGGAACAAAACTTCGTGTTAGAAGAGTTGGGCCTCACCAGGGAAAGGAGTCCAATTCTTCATGCAGGGCCAATAGAGGGTCTGGCCACTGCCCCACTGGTCCAAACTGTGGCAGGTATACTTTCAACCTACTTGGAGCCACCACCCAGGCTTGGGAGGAAACTTTTCTATTATGGCAGCAGAGTTGCAGTATTAATTCAATTGGGTGATCAGAATAAGAGGCTATATATACAGAACAACAACAAAAAATGGAGAAAACAAAACTTATGAACTAAAATGGAACTTGTCTGAATTAAAAGAGTAAATTTTCTTTATATCTCACACTTTGATGGCTCAGGAAACCCAGTGAGACTGAATCCTTTTCAAGGTTCTCATTTTAAAATCTAAGTAAAAACATATGTACACACACAAGCAGAGAAGATTCAGAACAAAAAAAAAAAAACATCTCTTACCTTCCAGAGGTCAGGTGATCCTTCTACAAGTTTGGCTTTAATGTGGCAGTATTTTAGAGCCAACTGTAAACATTCGGTTCCGAATTCCAAGTCATAGTCACTACACTGGTGTGTAATGGAGCAGGAGGGAGAAAAGAACTCAAAGTTAACCAACTGCAATATAATTTTAAATAAAATGAGTCTTTTATTTGGTAAAAATTGAAACAAAAAGAAAAGCCTAGAAAATTCACAAACCATTTAATTAGCTACTGATTGTATTATAGAATTATCCTGTCTATCCCCTAACAAGCAAAAGCAAAGTTAATAGAAATGTTACAATCATTCTTAATGGTTTTGAGCTCCCTTAGTAGTCTCTGGTGTTGGATAAATACTTTATTTGTTTATAAGTTACCTTTCCAAACCCACTTAAAAAATGCCTGAAGATATGACTCAGGAATTAGTGCATCAGAAATCTTAATTTAGCAAACCTTTATCTAAATTTCCTATCTTATATTTATATCAAGACATTTATAGGTCATAGTTCTCTTATTTTAACCCTCTAAAATCCCAAGTTTTTAATGGTGTTTGAATGAAATTGAAACAGATGCATTAAAATAGGCTGGAAGTCATAATCAAGCACTTATAATTTATTATCAATATTAATGAATATTAACAGTAGTCATTCACCTATTACTTTTCTCAAAAGACTAAAAATTAGATGTGTTAGACCATAAATGGCATATTTGTTCCTAAATTTGAGATATTTAGATATTCCATAAAAGGGATGGTGGAACTTACCAGCTTAATATTTAAAACATTAACATATGCTGCATAAGATATTTAAATTTTGTTTCTAAACATAGAAACAGCTCAGTCTTTCATGGTATTAAGAATGTAATTTTCCCAGACTCAGTAAAATACAAATAACATTTTTAAGCATTTTAAGCATAACCATCAAAACAACTAAGTAATAGGGACTGGAGAGGTAGTGCAACAGTATAGTGCTTGCCTAGCATGTGCAAGGCCCTTGGTTCAATTGCAAGTATTGCCAAAAAAATTTTAAATAAAGAAAAATAACCATGCAATATTATAACTCAGCTGAATACTCACTGACTCTCATGTCTCCAAGCTCTGTATTAAGTACCAGCTATACAATGGTTAATGTCATATGTTTGTGTACTCAAGAAACTCAAGTCTAGAATTGGAAGCAGGCAGTAATTGGCTAGAGAATGTAATTCACAGCACAAGATAAGTATCTACAGAGCAATCAATGGAAAAAATAATTTTGCTTGAGGGCACCAAGGAAGGCCCATCAGAGGCAATGGTCTCCAATCTCCATCATAAAGACTGTAGGAGAGGGAATACTGTGCAAGCAAAAGATGCCAGGCAAAGATACAGAGGTTTGAGATAGTTACATATTTAAGTTTACATATTTAAGAAAGAGTGTGACCATTAAGAGGACTGCAGGAAAGTAACAAGCATGAATATGGTATTTAGCACCCTTGGTGAAATGTGTCTTATTGTCCTGGAGTTTATATCCTGAATGTAGTGGGTTGCAAAGGGATTGAACAAGAAAATGAAACCAAATATATACAGTCTCTATTTCACCAGAAGAGTCACAACTTACATCATCTTTTGGTATATACTGTATGATTTTTCCTAGGTATTCTTAATACAATAGTATTAACAGTAGTTGCATTCAATAAGTTGAAATTAATCTTGGTATAACTCTGCTTTGTACTTTCAGCATCCTCATATTATTTGGTAGTATGTGAGTGAAAGAGATGTTTATCTAATAAACACAGTTCTGTCCTCACCACATGATTAAATCCCAAAGATAATTAGCAAAGAGCTTCACTTTTCTCCTCACTCACTATATTACCAAGATAATGAACACATCTGCAGAAAGCCTTACTAGTGCTCATGAAATGCATATTGAGAGAATCTCATTTTAACAGGTACTCCCTTCCTGTCTCAGGTGGGAAACATCCTGGATGCTGTGCCCCTGCCAGCCATGCACTGTGCTAGTCAAGTCAATGGAAAACAAATATAGTTCAAGAATATATGAAATATATAGGAAATGGAAGCTAGTCATTCTCAGAGATTAGGCTGGATTTATTACATAGATTATTTAGGAGGTTTAGAGTCATTTTTTTAAATAAAACCTCTCTTTAAAGGTAAATTCAAAAAGTGTACACTTAGGAAAGTCTGAATTCCTATTTCTAAAGAACATTGATTATGGATTTCTGCTCTTTTCTAGGATATACAAAAAAGTAATGTCCACATCTAAACAATAAGAAAAGCAAATGACCTACAAAAATACAACTTTTTCTTCAGTCCATCAAAGCTGTAGCCACAGAAAGACCAAAAAGCCTTAAAACCTTAGGAAAGAGAAGCCTCCCAAGGAGAAGGGATGCAAACACCAACTCACCCACTTCAAAACACAAAATCAAGCAAACCTGGGTGCCATATGGTTAGGTAAGAAGAAATAGGTAAAAATTTGAATGAATTTGCTCAAGACTGGGTGGAGGCTACTGAGACAACACAGAACTCTAGGAGCAACAAAAGGAGTTCATATGCACTTGTAAACTCTTCTCTAGAGCTCTCTTACTGGGCTTTCATGAAGTAGTATCATGTTATTTAAAGACGGTGGTTAGGTATATACTGTACACTGAAGCAATTACTAAAAAAAAAAAAAAAGTTAAAAATTAGTCAATACTGATGAAGCACAATCATTCAAAATATAAAATTAACCCAAAGGCAATCAAGCAGAAAAAGGGGAAAAGTACGAATAAGAACAAAGAACAAATGGGAAGAAACCAGCAAGATGGTAATTTTAGTCAAGAAAATTTACAATGAATGAGTGGTTTCAGTGTTTGTTGAAATTTTTGACATTGTCCAACATGGGGTTAAGTGATAGCCCTCATGACAAACACAGACACTGCAAACCACCTGCCTCCCTACTACAGTTTGAATCTGGAATGTCCCACTGAGACCCATGTGTCGGTCCCCAGACCATAGAGTGGACCTATTGAGAAGTGTTGGAACCAAAATTTAGGAAGTGGAGCCTAGAAGGAACTTAGGTCGTTGGGGTGTGCTCTTGAAGGGTATGTTGGGACCCCAGTTTCTTCCTGTTTTTCTTCTCAGCTATCATGAAATGAAGCACATCTTCTGCTATGCCCTCCCACAATGATATAATGTCTCACTATAGACCCAAAGCACCTGGACCAAGCATAGATCAAAACCATGAGCTAATTTAAACATTCCCTACTTACAAGTTGTTTATATCAGGTATTTTGTTACAGCAATGGAAAACTAACACACCCCTCAAAGTTGGCCCCCTAAAACTGTTAAAACAGTTTTATCCTCAGGCATAAGGACACTGTAAGCAGAGATCACTCAAATACATGTGTAATGCTCTACTTAACTTGCTCATCTGTTCCGGTTGCGGTTAACCATAAGAGTTTGCCCTTAGCATATTAATCGTAGTTTTAAAATCCTGGTTTAATGATTCCAACATTGTTGTCAATATTCAGTCAGGTTCTTGTACTTTCTCTGTCTCTTGAAACTGTTTTCTGCTTCTCAATATGCTCAAAATGTTTTCTTGATAACTGGATTTGGTCACTGGATAAAGCAACTAAGGTAACTAGGACTCTTGTCATGTGGTAATCATGTGGGGAAAGGGACAGCATTAGACAGTTGTATGCTTAGGTCTCAGTCTTTTAGAAAGCCTGTCTTTCTGGACTATGAACTTCACAAGTAGTGCTCAGTTCCTGCTCTAGCCCCCATAGCATGACTACAGTGGGCTGGAGTTGGGTATTTCCCTTCTCCATGTTGGTTTCTCTTGAGGGATCAGCCTTTTTGAGAATATTCTAGCATATTTCAAAATAATTATTTTTCCCTTCCCCTGTAGGACACACAAAAGGATTTTTCTCCAGTATTTAGTTTGAAAACTTCATCAAGCTCCTGGGGGTAAAAAATCCTAAGAGCACAGAGGTATGCCTATGACTAGGTCCTCCCAATGTTAACTATCAGACACGTCTCCAGCAATGCTTCAACTACAGTTTAGTTTTTCCTACCCCGATACTTGTTCTCAGCTAAATTTCATACTCCAGCAAATTCTGATTCACTTCATTCACCTATCTCCCTAACTTGTGTCACAGGGCAAACTTGTCCCTGAAGACAAGAGTCTTCTTTTGAGTGTGTTCCACATGTTTACATGCTGTGAAGATGGAGTAATAACTTCTAAACTCCTTTCATGCTAGAAGAGAAACTAGAAGTCTACATGTGCTCTCAGGAGACTACGTAAGATGGTAGTCAACAAAACTAGGAGAGAAAGATGAGAAAAGAAAAGGCATGGGATATAGAAAGCATATATACTACATAGGACTGGGGCAAAGGGGATTTCTATAATAGTACTGAAGTCTCAGGGTGATTACTGCATGGGAAATACAATGAGAAACCAGATAAGAGGGTAAGAATGAATAGAATCTCACTGGGCACAGGGGCACAAGCCTGTAATCCCAGCTGAGGAAGCTAGGGTAGAAGGATTCCAAGTTCAAGGCCAGGCTCAGCAATTTAGAAAGATAATAAATTAAATTAATAAATAAGTAGGCTAGGGATGTGGCTCAAGTGATTGCCTCTAGTTTCAATCCCTGGTACCATTAAATAAAATTCCTTGGAAGGTCTTGGAAGAAACTGGTTGCCTCTGGAAGGGAAGATTAAGAGATAGTTGGCATCAAGACTTTATTTTTACCTTCTGCTACTTATACACTGTCCTGTCATTACTTCTTGCCTTAATTATATAATGTTTATGTAGTATATTATGTTATGTAGCAGGGAATGTTAGAGTCCCAAAAACTATATCCTTACAAGAGTTATGGTTTTGTTTCCAAAAATATTTAATATTTTCAACCAATCAATCTGATTTCCTGTTGACAAGTGGCAGAACATTTAAAATCTAACTACCCCCCCTTCTAAGACTAGCATTTATGTTTTGTTGCTATATAAAAAATATTAAATCTGGCTACCATTATGATAAACCCATATTTTTTTCTCATGTTAACATACAACTTTATCTACCAGATATGTGCAAACTGTACACATTAAAACATTTTGCTTAATTA